GATGGGTAATTTTATCCATTTGTCCATTACTCTTCCGGACTCGGGCTAACTCGGTTTAAACAACGGAACTTTACGTTATGGAAAGATATAGCTGATTCACAGTACCTTCAAAGTATCAACTCCTCTTGCTATTACTTAACATTCAGTTTGTAAACTAAGATGGTTAGTGTAAAATATAAACTTTTAAAAAAAGGCCGATGCCTGATACAGGGAGGAGGCGTTTATTACACGGCAGCGCTTATTCGGGAGTTGCAATTTTAAATAGTTTGCTATTGGCGAAGAACACAGCAAAAGCCATATGTTTTTTTTTTTCTCATTCTTTGTCTTTTTAATTTCGCAACTATATTCAAAATATACCCAAGTATGTCAACTAAAAAAGCTGCACATTTATTCAAGTAAAGTTTCTAACAAATTATTAAAGCAACAACACGTGCACAGACAAAAACGAAAATGACTCGTACTTATAACACACCGATTGACTTCCAAGGTCGAGTAGAATCGAGTACGAATTCAATCGAACTCAATTTCAATCGAGATAGTTCGAGCTCGAATAAAAGTGAGCTCGAAGCATTCGAAGTCACCGTGCTCGGGCTTGATCGACGTCCACAACGAAGAACGAGCTCGCTTGTAAAGTCGCTGTCATCGAGCTCGGTATTTGGCGAGTACGAGTGAAATGAAGGCCAATTTGTGAAAATTGTGTACAGGTTGTTGTGCGAGCTCGAGAAAGTGAAATCGATCTCGGTTGCCCAGAAAACTAGAATGATCCGTGAAATCGATCTCGGTTGCCCAGAAAACTAAAATGATCCACGTGGTTTGCTTATCGAGCAGGAATGGTAATCGAGTAAGGCAAATGCATATCGAGCTCGATTGCCCAGGAAAAAAATGTCATCCGATATTTCATAACCGCTTTTAACCTTTCTATGTGCATCCTCATGCGTCTTCGCGTCTTTGTTGAATCATAGTTAATCGAGATGAAAAATTTATCGGCGAATAAATGGCCAAGTTAACAATGTTTTTAGGAGCCCCATGTCCCTCGGAGGAGATATTATTTGTTCTACTTCAGTGCTCTTCAACAGAAGCATGCGTGGCTATTGCGTATCTTAATGATGAGATCAAAGACGCGTTGCTTAGGTTACAATTCTCAACTCACAGGTCAGGGTAAATTAAGGGACAGATCAATTACCACACATCTCTCATCTTTCCTCATCCGGCACCCTCTTCTTTTCAAAAATCATGACAATTGTAGTCACCGCTGTCAGAAAATTTTCCCACACTCGCCAGAATTCAAGCAAAAGGAGCAAATTTCAGCGCAACTAAAGACGACATTAAAAGAAAAAAAAAGTGATTTCGCGGTTTGCGTTGTCATGTCTCCCTATTTACTTTTGTAGCATTGTGAGTTATTTCATTTTAATCTCAAGATTTATCGGGAGCTCGCCTCGTAAATGAGACTTTTCATTTTCTAAGCCATCCTAGAAACAGGTTCTTACGGAAATTAACTGTCATTCAATCACAAAACCCAACAGGTGGAAAATGACTTTAATCAACAATGAGCTCTCAGATACCGCTATGAAATCGGAAGTTGATGTGACATGAGAGTAAACAAGAGCAAAGAATCTTAAAATTAGTTTAAGTTTTAAAAATAAATACCCTAACTGGAAAAAGTTGATGAGTTCAACCGACGATCTGACCACGAATCATGATCCTACGATACAAACTTAAGGTGTTACTTACTCTATGTGCTTTATTTTCATTCGTTGTTAAAAACGAATCTTATATCGGCATTGTAGACTATAGCACATACAGAACTGTGACGAACTTTGCAGATGAGTGCGTCAAATGGAAGTACCTCAAACATATGCCTATCAGGCGCTTGAAAAAGCTTAAAAGGGTGAGTGGTGGATGATGTATGTTTTCTTGAGCAGAGGTGTCAAGAGAGGATAGCCTGGGTGTGATTCTGTTCAATGACACAGTTTCGATTGTCCAATTCGAGAAACATTGTCAAATTTTTCTGATCTGTTAATCCCGATTTGAAGGTTTGACAAAAAGAACTGACGAAATGACAAAAGCTGGATCATCTCGATGTGAGCCAATAACATAATAGTTCTGTTTGTATGAGCTAAATAGAACAAGCTCCAAAATCAGTTGTGCTATGAAGTTCTCTTAACGGTGCTAAAGGTAGTCAAAGCTAGTCAAACTAGTTCCTATCGTATTCGAATATTGAACATCTCTTTCTTTCTTTCTATCTTTTTCTTCTTTTTCTTCGCAGTTCAGACTTGAAGATGAAGTTTGCTTTCAAACTAAACAGAAGTATTGCCCTTCAGGAACTGATCAGCTTACCAAAGAAGGAAATGAAAAGAGGACTGTACCACTTCATTAAAAATTCAACTTATGTAATGAACCATACTACTGATAACAATATATTTTGTGTCCTCTACATGTGTGTATAAGTCATGATCATGGCATTTGACAAAACCAGTTGATAAATAATAAAAATCACAAAAACATCGATCTTCTTTTTGTTTTTTTGAAGTTTTTTTTTTTTGTTAAGGGTCAAGATATAAAAAGAACACACCAGACAGTATGAAGAAGGCCATATTCAGAGGCATGGCCGTGAAAACAGTTTGAATTGAGCAGAGTTTCAAATGAACTGACCGCTCAGCTTTAAGATCGACCTCTGCAACGCTATTTTGCGGCCAGATTTAGTTAAAATTTCAACCGTTAACGACAAGGTATTAGAATGGGTCAGAACATAATGTGTCGAGAATATTTAGCGAGTGGTATATTCTTTGGAGGCTTGTTGTTTACGCAGGCAAGACACTCTCAGAGGCCGATCACCTCATGGAGCAAAGCAAAATATGATTGAGAACATATAAACTAAAAGCTTTACTTCTGCACTGTGTTTTTGTTTTTGTCTTTCTCGAAGGTTAGGAAACTGCAATCAATTTATGTGTTTTGTATAAGTTCGATTGGGCGGTTAAATTAGGTCATGCGTATACGTACTTCTCTGATTAAAGTCTGGACAGCCTGTGGAGGGAGAGATGATGGGTAAAATGGAAAGGTAGCAAAGAATATTAGGGTAACGGCCAACTATATACTTCACCCGTCTTAAACCACCGAAAAGTAAGGCAGTTCTCAGTGTGTATCTATATTATAACTAACTAGGGAATAAATTTGTTTAGGATGTGCACACGTCTAATAGCATGTTCTCTAATGTTAAAGTAATTAAAAGTGGTTTTGCTGTCCTCAAGGATTGGCCTTTCCAAGGTCTGTCAAAGATGTCGTGCCTCCTGATGCCTCAGGTTCTACAAAAATCAGATATTTATATGTCGGCATAATGGAAACAGATTTCTGCTTACTGTCATTATTGATTGGAGAGTTTAATTCCCTTTGTAAATAGTTAATACGTTACCTCACAGTTGTCAATGCTGTATACTTAGCTTCAGTAGCATAAAGTAAAGTTTCAAGCGTTGGACGGTCATTTTGGAAAATCTGATGCAAAGGTCCAGAACAGCAAGAGACATGCATGGTAAAAACGTCTGTATTTTAGCGCTTACATTGGGATTTTTCCTAGCAATCATACACAGCGCAGAATCATACATTGGCTCCGTTACAGATCGTGATGAAGAAAAATTCACACAGAGAAACTTAGGAGAATTGAAAAGGCTACCGAGTAAAAGATTTGATGAAATACGCAAGAAGGAAGCTCGAAAAGTCAGAAAGAATCAGGTAAAAAATACTTATCGTTATTTAGAAGTAAATATTACCTCTGGTCAGACAAATTGATTCGTTTAAAGATTTTTTTTTTCGTTGATTAGTTTACGCGGGGCGTTTTACTGGAGCAGGGAGCGGGGAATATGAAGTATGATTTTACTTGTGCGCTTTACTCTAATAATTGAACTAAACCTGTTGAAAAATAGCAGAATTATCTGATTCGAAGCAGTTGCATATATTTTAGCTTTAGCATAAAATGGCTTAAAGCACACGGTTAGCAAGTTGATGTTTACGTGGACCTTCAAAGTCATTTGTAATCTTTCAACTAAGAATGTTCTGGAAAGCATTCATGTGTCCATCTTTATCTGCATGTAAACACTTATCCCCATCTGAAATCCCAAGTTGTTTTGGCGAAAAGAATGATAATAGTGAAACATAGATAAAGATATTGAGAACATTGTTATTGACAATAATAATGAAAGTGGTAACATTGACCACGAAGTTAATAACTATTGCACCAACGCAGGAATATTTTGAATTAGACCACTTTTGACATGCATTACTTCATAACTTCAGTGCTTAATGTGTGCCATGTTATTTTCCTCTCAGGTGAGATTGATAGATTCACCGCGGGTAATAATGCAACGTTTTTGATGCACCTTTTCTGTTATAATTTCTTTTAAACAGGGCTTTTTGCATGATGGATGAGTTTCTGATCGTTTCTTGCGTCCAATATCCACAAGAAGAGATAGTGACGATAGAAGATACCACAATCAAGGACTTTGAAACTATATATATTGAAATACACCTTTAGTTTATCTTATTGTTTATTAGTTTTTGACATTATATCCATTTACTTAAAGGCAAAACTCGTGCTTCAATAACTCTTGTGCATGGTCACGGTAATTTTCATGAAATAAAACAACTTGACTAACAGTGAAACATTGACTTTGTTTAATAATGAATCACGTTGGTTATTTACACGGTATAACCTAAACCACGGTTTTACGCAGTCAGTGGCAATCATGGCTAACACATGTCGTGTTCTCTTTACAAATCTGATTGCCCAGTCTCCTTCGGGGTTCGTTTTGGCACCAGTTGATTTATTAGTCTCACTGATCATCTTAAACAGCAAGCATGTTATGTTCCTTTGAACATATTTAGGGTAAACTGTGTCCTTAACCCAGCTTCAAAGCTCATGCTTGAAATCAACAAATTGACTACGTGCTGCTCAATCGCCAAGGTCCACCTTTAATTTGCTTAAGACACACTTTTTTGAACCAAAACGGGGGTGGGGGGTTAAAAAAAAAATTCTTTTTGGGCATGACATTTGATGAATTCTGCATCATTGAGGTAACATTAGGGAAAACCACGACGGAAATAATTATATGAAGACGTGGCAGTACGAAAGTTCTAATGGGCAAGCCCCGGTTGTGCGAAGGGTGGATAACGCTATCCACCGGATAACGCTATCCACCTGATAAATCGCTACCCGTTGGATAGCAGGACGTTTTTTCAACACATATCCACTGGAAAGTGATTTATCCGTTGGACAGCGTTATCTGCCCTTTGAACAACTGGGTCCAGAACGATAGCTCAGCACGTGCGCTTTAAGAATTTGTAAATTTCATAGCGTAAATTTGAAGTAAGGGACGGTAAACACATCCAGCCATTTACAAAACTCTGATTAAAAGATTTATTTTTTAATCTAAATCCCTCTTGGTGTTTCCGTTGTGAAGAAACAAACTCAAGTTAGACACGATTGCGAAATTGAATGGCTCCTCTTGGCTAAACAGGTGATCATTGGTTAATGTTTGGTGAGTAAAAGGAAGTATCATTCGTAAAATGAAAATACTAAAACTCAAACAAACTCAAATTGCGGTGCTTTTTATTAGATCTTCCTTCGACAGGTTCAGGAGTATAATTGGCATTGAGCAAACCTGATAAGTTTTGAAATTGAGAATGTTGCAATAGTGTGGGCACTGATGAGTTAAATAGAAAATTGACCAATAAATCATAGACAAAGTTAATGTTAACGGAGTCACCTAAAGGGGAAATGAAATTCTCTAATATCCCACTTTCCGGGCTATTTGTTCTGTTAAAAATAACATTCCTCCCACATCGATCATGAGCTTATTATTCGGAGAGTGAGATCAAACTAGTTACTTTTTCCATTGTGGGTCTAGTCAAGCTAGGAAGGATGATACGAAAGCTTTCTGCGTGTGCTTTGGCTTTCATTCTCATTTCATGTATAATAGTACAGAATTCAGCTTATTTAACTATCATAGAGAGAGGGCTCCGTGCATGTAGAAGCAGTGCTAATTCTAACGAAGATGACAGCAGAGTTCGAAGATGGGGATGGTGGCCTCCCGTCATAACTCGGGTATGCAAAGTTTCCAGTTACCCTTTTCTTCTTCCTCTCATGATCAGTTGACTTAAATGTAGCGTGGGCTCACACTTTATGTCCGTGTGAGACTTCTTCATGGGGAGTGTCGAGAATCTCTAAAATCGTCACTTTCTGGAGCCTGAGCCTGAACTAATTTTCTCAAACAGATGCACAATTAATTTATTACCGGCTTTTGTGTTCAGTCCAGAGAAGTACTAAAAAAAAATGCGCATCTAGGAATGTTAAGTAAGCCTGCCTATATTCTTTCGGTCATAGAAGGCAATTTGTTGAGTTTTTCTTTCTGACTCAGTGCTGGTCAAGATAAGTAAATCATTTATTTCATTTATACGCGTCATCAAGTAATTGGTTTTGAGAAATTGGTGCAACTTAGAGCAAAAATGCATAATGTGAGATCAGAATTTATTCTATTTGGAAGAGAGTTTTCTTATCAATAAAGGGTACGGAACAGGTCCTGATATGGATATTTAGCTCTTCGAGGCAGTTTTATCTTCAGGGTGATTCCTCTGGAAAAAATTCATCCAAAAAATTTTTTTTAAAATTTCCTTAAATGTTCCGTACCAATGTCTGTTTAGAAAAATACAATTAAAAAGGTTGGTCACGGTGCTCGTTTAGGAAATATAATGGGCCTGTGTTGGCACTAATCACGCGCGTCATTTAATCGGTTAATGGTATATTTTGAAGTTGCTGAAAACAAGGGTTTTTCAAGTAATAATAAAAAAAACTTAACAGGTAGAAATTCTCGAGCGTATGGTAGAAATTGATGTATAATTTCTGAAAAATTATATCGTACCTCTTTACCTGGTCCATTTATTGAAACAAAATACCTGGTTCTCGTTGAAGTTACTCTTTTTTGCTTCCATGTGACTTTCATCCATATATATATCTTATTAACCTAGCGCGAGGGCCGTACAGGGAGAATATCGGCCCGAGGTCTTGACAGTACGGACCTCGCTGCGCTCGGTCCGTACAAAAAAAAAAAGAGGGCCCATCGATATTCTTCCAGTACGGTCCCAAGTAAGCTTGGTTAATAAGAGATTTATTATACGACTGAAGTTCAAAGGGACACAAGTGCGGTATCATTCGGGACCATTCGGGACAGTGCCCGGTTCAATACTGAGAGAATATTGACCGGCAATAGAGCATTTTGATTGCTTGATTTTAGTTATTGGCCCTCTGACTGCCCAAGTCGTGTAATAGTATCCGTTATTGAGTTAGACTACGAGAAGGCCCTCCTTTTCGGCTGAGTCCGTCGCACTCGAAAAGGAGAAGCACCTCCCTCATGGACCTACTGCGGCGCATCGGCGTCACTCCAAGAGTTGCACGCGGCGCGCTACCAGCATTTCTTTTTTCACTGATGCATTTTTTACTCGTGCGACGGACTTTGTCGAAAAGGAGGGACTGCTTGTAGAGCGACGATTAAACATTTGGCAGATAAGCTTTCATCTGACCAGCCTTCTCTCGGCAAACCCTCCAATAAGAACAGTATTTGTTAAACAGCCTTGATTGTCACGATCGGTAGCTACGTTTTGCAGTTCTAAGAGAGTGCGACCCCTAATGGTATGCATTCTCCGGGGAGTATAAATAGCTTAACCTTACGAACATCATGATTTATTCCAGCTGACGTTTTTTTCCGCGCCCTGTGTAATTAGAAAATAGCACAGTGATTTACCTACCAAAAAACTTTATTCGGGACCGAATATGATTTTGCTGCATCCTGCTACACTTATTCAACTTCTTCCTGCATGCCATTTTTTTAAAACTGACGGACCAATTTTTCTCTTAAATCTCTTTTAAACGTTCATTTTTGTTTTGTTTTTCTCCTCAGCGAGATTGTGACACATTCAAAAATATTCTCTGTGAGAGTAGGATATTTCAGGGTAATCTTGGGAAGGCTCCCTCAAATCCTTCCTCGTCTCCTTCACCTCCTCCAGTACCGCCTGTTGGTGGTCTACCAAGAAAGCGTCGGTCAAGTTCTTCCATCAGGAAAGACTTCGAGGCCATCAATATGGTGTAACATAATTGGAGAGTCCCCGAAAAAGATGATTGAGCGCAGAATAAACAGGAGTTGACTTTTAAAAAAAATATCGATGTTGATAAATACTTCCATGACTGAACAAAGATGACTAGAACGGTATCAAAATGTAAATCAGTGCACAAAATTTTGCGTGATGGCTGTAAATTATTCAATAATTTGACCTTAGCTGCCTTAACTATTTCAAGTAAGTTAAGAATGTGACGTGTAAATTATTTGCTTTTAAGTCTCGACAAAAAATAAAAAGAATGCCAATCACGACGACTTACGCCACCCGAGTCTTACAAGAACATCACGGCAAAACTGACCGATCATTTTACATGAACTGGGCTAAACACATAATTTTTTAAGTGCAGATTTTCTGAAGTAAAGAAAATTTGGTAAAAACCACAATGAAACAGATGCTTGCCATTTCAGTATATGTTGGGTAACATGTGCTCTACAATGTATCATTCTGATCAGGACACTCAACTACATTGAAGAAAAAAAAGTTTAATAGTCTATAAAAGCCACTCCACAGTTGAATTGATTACAAAAACTTTTACAACAAAGACAGAATTTCTTTTGAGAACTATTTACTGAAATTTATACATCCGTGCTTTAAATATACAAAATAGGATGTGGCATATCTGACAGCGATTTTTCTGAGAATCTTTTTTAAAAATGTATATGCAGACATTACCATAGAGACGATAATCCAAAAGAACTAAAAAAAATCATGTTACATTATACCATGTCACTAAAGCAAATCTTTCGAAATTTCCATGGACATTTCTGGATCGATTAGAACATTACTGAACATCTACATTTTAGCATGTCCATAGAAGATCTATGGAAATTTCCATATACATGTCAGGATCAATTATAACCGTACATCTTAAATTTTGCTGTGTTATAGAAGGTCTAAGGAAATTTCCATGCACATGTGTAGATCGATTAGAGCTTAACATCTTACATTATACCATGTTAATGGAAGGTCTATGGAAATTTCCACCATGTCAGGATCAACTATAACCATACATCTTAAATTTTGCTGTTGTTAATGGAAGGTCTATGGAAATTTCCATGCACATGTCTAGATTGATTAGAGCTGAACATCCTTACATTATACCATCTTAATGGAAGGTCTATGAAAATTTCCATGCACATGTCTCGATCCTAAAGACCAGATATAGAAT